CTTTTCTGTTTAATCATGTTGGAAAGCACTTTTGCCTGAGACTGTCCCTCTCTGTCTAGCAGAGATAGGCAGGTACTGCTCCCTGAGGAGTCTTTTCATCATTCTTTTGTTTGGTGTTTCTCTTTTCATGCATCTTGATAGTCTTCTTCATTTGTATTTTCTCAGCATGGCGCTATTTATGGTACAGCTTAGCCTTCAGGCCAATCATTTTGTTTGCCTTCTTTGAATATTCATGAGCCTCTGAACTTTCCTTCTTTCTCTTTTTCTCATGGTAATCCAAACGATACCCATAACATTTACGGTCTAATTCAATATATTCATTTTGTGGCATGGTGACAGCTGCAGAGGCGCTGGGGGCGGCCTCAGGTACGGGAAGAAAAGTTTCAACTTTGGGGTCTCCCTGACACATGACCTGACTCCGTGCAGCTGGAAACAGGAAAGAAAAGCAGGGGCCTATTTTTTGATAGACCTTAGTTTAAAATGTTAGAGTGTTTGGGGGTTTTTTTCTTTTCTTTTTTTTGAGACAGGGTCTCACTATGTAGTTCAGGCTTGCCTTGAACTTACTATGTAGCAGAGGCTGGCCTCAAACTCAAAGCAATTCTCCTGTCTCAGCTGCCTGAGTGCTAGAATTCCAGGTGTGTGCCACCATTCCCAGGAAAAATGTTAGAGTTTATACCAAAATCTATCCTTATTTTCCTAGACATTAGTTTAAAAAGTTAGAGTTTATAGCAAGAATGGCCTTTAAGTCCCTGATAACAAAATGAAAATCATTCTTTTTAATAAATAGCAAGTAAAGGCCCAGGTCTAGCTATTTCTTACCTCTGTAGTGGTCTGCATACCATGACTACAGTAGTTTCAGGACTGGCTTCTTCCAAAATGTTCTCAAGACTGCTTTCTTAACCAAGAGTGGTTTAAGGAGCCTGACAGCTTCTACTTGGTTATTCTACTTGGCATGAGTTGGTAACAGACTTCTCCTATGGTTTATTAAAATTAAAAAATGGAAATACTTTTAAAAGTTTCTATTCATTAGCATTATCTAATAAAAGTCTATTGGAAAGCTTTCTTACTAAGTCTATATAAAAAACAGGCGATTTTGTCTTATACACTAAGGTGTGTCTAAATAAGCACTGTTCAGCCATGCTGTACTTCTTCCTAATTTCCTGAAAAAGCGGAGTCCATATTTACATATTAACTCATTCAACTCTAAAATGATTATACAAAATAAATATTTCTCCCTACAGTTCTTAGATCTTTCCAGATTTTCTGAGCTATTCCATTTTTAATGCCCACCATTAATTGATAGGTCTCCCACCACCTCAGCAGCTATTATGTATGGTAGCTGCCCTCTTCCTATGGTGTCTTGCCCCCTCCCCTGTGTGACATCATGCCAAGATGATTGCTCCCACCAAAGAATAAACACTTCTTCCCAGTATGCCCCTGTTCCCACCTAGGAAGTAACCTAATACTCGCTCACCTCCTACCACCTAGTGACCTCATGGGCTCCTCCATTCCCTTGTCACTACCTCACTCAACCCCACCTCAGCCCCTACACACCCCACCCCAGTCTCTATTAAAGACTCTCCCTGCCCCGGCCATATTGCTTTTGTCTCTCCTTTGTTCAGAGACAGCCTGGCAGATCTATTCCCTTAATAAAGGCTTGTTGTGGCCTGGTCTGGTGTTGGTCTTTGGCACTTTTACCTGACATTAATAAAGTTCCCTTTATGGTCTTCCAAGTAGATTCACTTATGGGTATCCTTGTTTCCCAAAACAGTTTGCTTTGGTGACATAAAAATGTGATCATAAATAATTCCTTGAGGTCAATATAAAGATTCAAGTTCAAAAGCCCCCCCAAAACCTTCAAAAATTTAAATAATACTCTGTTATAGTATATGCAAAGGGAATTTTGAGATATTGACAACTTTTCCATTTTTTTCTCAATAAAAGTTGGCTTTAAGATAATTACTTGTGGGCCGGGGATTTAGTTCAGTGGTTTCACCACCTGCTGCGCAAGTGCAAGGACCCAAGTTCGATCCCCAGTACCAAAAAAAAAAACAAACAAAGATAATTACTTGTGTTTGTCAAATATTTCACATTTTACATACAATGTAAATGTTATTGTTAAAAATTAAACAGATAAATAAAAGCTCTAAGTTATTTATAATTAAGTTAAAATACTAAAGATTTGTTAAATATAAATTCATATATTCTTTGTTTAAAATTTATCAATGTTAATATATTTAAATATTACAAATATTTCAAAGGTTGATATATTGGCAGTGATATCTATCACTAACATAAGTGATATCTATCACTAACATAAGCTCAAATATCTAAAAATAGAATTTTATCAATCTACAGGTCAACTAGTAAAAATGAGCTTAAGAAAATAACTCGAAGTAATTGAGGGTTATATTTGTTTATCATTTTAAGTTATTTATGTAAATACAATTTATTTCATATTCTAATAACAGTCAGCTTTTAAATTTTTAAAAAATTTTTTGATACAGTTAATAGCTATGTTACCTGATCTGTTAATGAGTTTGCTTATGCTGCCTAATGCTAACAGTTTCATGAGATAGTAAAAGGCTTGCTTGCTTCTCTATAAAAATTAAGTGCAATTATTTCAGTGTCTATCTAGTCTTTGTTTAAATTAAGTATTTAAAATGAGTTTTTATTTTTAAACCTCTTTGTTTCTAATAAAACTCCTTATAAGTTCAAAAGCAATGATTTGGGGTATTTCCAACCTCAAATATATTATACATGTGTGTTCTTTTTTAGATATTCAGTGGTTACATCAACATATGAAAGTTTGAGGCACAAATATGATTGAATAATAATTTTTAAATACTGGTGATCCACTGGGATAATTTTATGATATAAAAGTTATTTTTCTGTTATAAACTGATCATATATATTAACAGTATAACCTTTGAATAAAATGTTTCTAGAGACAGTTTATTGTAAAAATACTTTTTAAAAATTGTAATACACAAAAACAATGTCAAAATCTATTTAAAAGAATAAAGCTTAAGATAGAGATCTGTTCTTAATAAAATTGAAAGCAAAACTATTTTAAAAGGCTACAGATTTGTCAAAATAATTTATTGCATTTTCTATTG